GCTCCTATAATTCGCCAAGGTCGCAAACTGAAAACACGTGATTTCTTAGGTACCAGCATGAGGCGGAATGTTGATGCAAATGGTCTGCTCAATCTAGCCCACTGTCTTAATTTCATGTCCCCAAGATCGAGCGGGCGTGGCTGCGTTCTTCATTCAGAACTCGCGACAGCTGCGCTTTTGATGGGATATTGTCCTTTTGGGACAACAGTAGTCGCCTTCGACGCACGAACATGACGGAAAGGATGACAGCTTGATACGAACGAAAACATCATCAGTCTTGTTCGCTGTGGACGCTGGGGCGTGTCAGGCTGTGTTCATACTTTGCAGCGGCGTACATCGGCTTACACCAGCTCCAGCGACCAGGAAAGAATAGGGACCGATCTAGTGTACGCCAGCGGCAGCAACTTTTTGGACAGTTTTGCTCAAGTTCAAATTGCCCGCAAAAACGCTGACGTTCGCTAGATCGATATCCATTCTTTCCCAATCGCTGCTGTACGATAGATCAATAGCTATACTTTTCTAGTCGCTGAAGTACGCTCTAAACGCTGGCCTAGGCTAGATCGATTCCTCTACTTCCCTAGTCGCCAGTGTGCGCTCGAAACGTTGACGTACGCTGGTGAACGCAGCCGCAGGATGGGGGATAGGTTAGGTTTAGCGCGGTGTCAGCCCGTTATTGACAAAAAAAGAGCTGGCAGGCGACCACAAACGATGAGAAACTGACCGGCGCCACACCAAATGCAGCCTTACTGACACGCTCCAGCGTAGCGAACAAGATGCTCGATTGATGTGAACAGCTGGGCGTCCCCAACTATGAGATATGGAGTGAATCTTTACCACGTCTGAGTGGAAGTCTATTTCCTCGCCCCTTTTGGGAAATTCCACCGTCGCAACCGCAACTTTGATACTCTTCCTATCTATTAGGTCATCCCATTCAAAAGTGCCGTCGGTTTTATTCGAATAAAACAAAGAGGAGAATAGATAAAAAAGTAATATTTTGGCTTCAAGTTAAGTAAATCCCTCCTTCACCAATGACCCGCTCCCAGTGCCCCGAAAGCCTTTGGACCTCTGGTACCTTCGATTTTTCAACAAGTGCGAGTAAATTGCTGTTGATGCCAATTTCGGCGAATGACAAAACATTGTAGCGTTTGCCGTCGGAGAGTACTCTCGACTGACGAGAACAATTGGAATCGCTCGGCTTTATGTCGGGCGAATGGGGTGATTGAACCCAGGTCTCAGTATTGTTTGTGTCCCAGCACTGCCCTACAATACAGTTACTCGGGGTCTGGCACTATGACGAGCAACGGGCCTTCTTGTAGTTGTGTGGTATCATCCATTTGTCGATCTGATTGCCGAGGAACAGGCAATATACACCGACATCTACGATTTTATTTTCTGTATAGAGCCGCCTAAAGCCTCAGTGTAGGAATCCTTTGCTATGATGATCATCCACTTGCGCCCACGTAACCCCTCATGGTAGAACTCGGGCGGCTTCTCATCTGCATTCATACAAAATTGACGATTGTGAGTTTTGGCTCGAGGTCCAAGACCACCCAAATGACATCTCATGCTGAGAACATTACTGCTAGAGGCATAGAATCGGTACTGCGTTCGTGCTTCTACAAGAAAATTAGGTACCCATGCGCACACCCTCTTGACCATCCTCAGTTTATCGGACATAACTCGGGCAGCAGTTGCAGCTGGGATGTCAGACTCGCGGGGAAGCTCGACAAAGGTCCAGGCTCTGGGATCAGACATTCAGCGCTTGACTTCATCCACCCTTTTTTCTTGTGCAGGATGAACATTATGGGACCATCCACGACAACAATTTTTTCCTTTCTTCCTTCTTCGGGCTCCTGAACCAAACCTTCCACCTTGTATATCGAGAACACCATTACACACCTACTGGTCCGGCGCCGGTCGAATTTGAGCAGCGCACTTCCCTCTTATGACGTCTGATTTGAAAATCGGGCGCTGATTTTCACCACTCGGGCTTCTTTTCAATTTCTCGAGAACTTCTTCTGTGGGTAGGTTCGTTTCACAGATACACAGCTAAAGGTACTAGCCTCCAAATGGTATAGTAGCCCGCTTCCCTATCCCCTTTGCTTTTCTGCCATTCCTCTATATGTCACGGCACTTTTGAATGGGATGACCTAATACATGTGATAAAAGCATTGAGTCTTATTAATATCGTTGTCACGGTTTAGCCCCTGCTCTCATGAATCCAAATCCGCCGACTCACTGTAGACTTTGCCTTTCCTTTTCTTTCCATCAAAAACTAGTTCTCTCGTTATGCTGTCTCAAGGGACTTACATGGCTGTCCTAGGTCGTGAGGTATGCGATACATCGTCTTCACCTCCATCTTACTACCTTCACTCAAATTGCTCATCTTTCTGGTGTCCCTGCGATTCAGCTGATCACCTGAACACTACATTATCAAATTCTATAGATCTCCAAGGATCACACTGTCTGCGAACGTAGCACTACTGAAATTATTTACTGAAAAAAACTGAAGCAGGTAGTGTACACACACACACACACACACACACACACACACACACACACACACACCACACACACACACACACACACACACACACACACACACACACACACGCACGCACGGACGTTGCACACACACACACACACATACACACACACACACACCAGCTGCACGCGGCTTTACCTTTTAGATAATTAGCTAGCCTATCCACCGGTGTCAAGCTTAATCAGAAGTCTATTCGACGAACATCCGATGGATACCGGTAATGTCTTCAAGAATAAGCGCAGTTCGGCGACGATGGAGGAGCATTCCCACTTCGCCTGCCTTCAGTAGTTCCGGATTACAAGTCTCACTCTGGTGAAACCTGTGAACTCTTGTGAAGCTGGAGCAAGCTCGTGAGCCACCATGGTAAAACCTGTCAACTCAAGAAAAGGCTCTTCAGATGGGTCGATGGGAACTAGCAAAAGCGTAAAATGCACCCCTTCTCTCCTCCCCCCCCCCTCACGAATTGTCCCAGAAACAAATCTCAAATACCCTGTTTTCTCGGCTATAAGAAGCACTGCGAAAACAGAGGGGGGAGGGGTAGACAAGATCGTAAGTGCGAAACGTCCTCTCCTTCCTCTTGCCTTCAGCGGAATGGCGCCGCTCATTGAATTTAATAAAAACATGACAACCTATCTTTCGGTACGAGCGTACAAATAAAACCGTGACAACTAAAAAAATAGACAACTCGCTGTCACGTACAGTAGTCCAGCTGCAATGACAACTCGAGCATGGGCCAGTTCTTGAGAAATGCCCAACTAGCATAAAAATGGACGTCGTATGTGTTGACCATTCTATATTCCCATGCTGAAAGATAAACTGAACTTACTCGGATCGAAATATACTGGATAATTAAATAAATTAAATAAACAATAAATAAATACTGGATTCAATAAAAACTAAGTAAGTAGATAGCGAAAGATATAGGTAGGAAATATAACGTGCAGTAGATGTACAGCAAAACCAGTAGGCCAAATATTTTATGAATCCCTTTCAAATTATCCCAGAAAGGTGTGATACCGCAAACCAGCTTACATTCCAAGTATCCGAATCGTCCAAATTTTTGCATCTGTGCTTCCGTAAGTGGATTGAGCTCCGTTTCTAGCTCTCTCCAGGAAGAATCGTATTCAAACCACATTGTAGCACCATTGACAATATAATAGGACTCATTGAAAAGTGCAGATCGATACCTGCAAAAAATGTAGCTCTGGAAGACGTTACGCGTGGACTTCGGGGTCCAATCAGGAGTGCTAATCGGAACTAATTAGGATCACGCTTTGTCTGTACTGACAACTCGTGTCAAGGTTTCGTTGAAAATGGTCTTCCTACTGCGTACTTCGGTTTGGTGGGTGCATTTTGCTGGTTGTTATCAGCCCTGATCTGTCCTGTGAAGACCTGTAATCTTGCGAGGCTATGCAACAGGTTTCACCAGCGAAATGGGCAATTTAACAGGGACTAGCAAAAGAAATCACCGAAAATGCAAAATTCCCTCCCTTCTTAAGCCAAACAGTGCCACAATCTCACAACAACTGTCCCGTCAATGCTTGACAACTGTGCAGACACTTCTAACACAGCTTTGGAGAAAGATAGGCTACATACAATCTCCTTACCGTTACGTCTTTCTTAGGCCAGCCACGTTCATACTTTGCGACACTGGAGAATTAGAGAGCAGGATAACTGCTGAATGTACTGGGATAGTGCACTCGAAAAAAGTATAAGAGGCCGCTCATACTTTGTGATAACATTCTGAGTGTGCAACTAGGAAAGTAAATGTATAATGCAGCGTTTCGAGCGCACGCCAGCGCTACAGTCTCTCAGAACGATCATGTACGCTCAAAACTCTCAGGCAAAGTATGA